TTTTCTAGGTTCCTTATCACACCAGATCTACTTGGGAAAATTGTGCATGTCATTTTTGAGATACTTTTCTATAGCATTTTATTTAATCTTGAATATTGCTGATAACTTGAAAAATATGTAGAAAAATATATAGGCTTCAGAAAAATATGATTCCAAGTTTGTTAATCTTCTTATGTCATGTACTTCCTAGGAAAAATATGTTTCATGCATGTGCTGTGGGAAAATTTTGAGGTGTAGTTCAAGTACCTTTAATGGCTGATTTTTGTTATTTTTGCTAGAGCACAAATTTTGTATAAAACATGCATGTGACAATTTTTGTACAGCGATTATATACTATAAAGAACATAGGAAAAATACTCAATCTGTTGTTTGACACTTTTCATAGTACAAAGTAATTTCATGCTCATTTTTATGCTATAGCTTGTCATTTTTATGTAGGATAGTTTACTTATCCAAATGCCATGAAAATTTTATGGTAGTCTGCTTAGAGTAGTACTATGCTACTGTAATTTTCTTAGATTTTTATAAGCACCAGAAATATAGGTTGCTGTTGTAGCCTTAGTTTCAAATGAAATAAAATAATCCTCTTTAATGCAAGTTAGTTAATAATGTTAGCTTTGGTGTATCTTTGAAGCATTTAATAAGATGTGTTGACTTAACCTATTAGTAGTAGAAGAGAATGCAGAGATGACATGTGCTTGTAGTATATTTTCTTGGATGATGTGACTACCTTGCTTTTCAACATATCCATTGCATTCATCTCCTTCGATGCACCGATTGCATAGGCACTTACACGCATTGCATCATACAGATCGCAAACCGAGAACCCAACCGTCATACCCGAGGAGCCCGAGGAGCAGCTCGAGGTGCAGCAGCAGAAGTGCCGGGTTTGACGAGGAGGACGTTGAAGAACTTCCTGAGTGCCCCGATCACCGCCTCGAGCTCCTTCGAGAGAGGCAAGCCCCGAGCATCTTTCTCCGGTTTGCAATGATTTCATTAAATACTTTACTTTAAATTGATGCATTACATTCAGGAGTTGTTTGCAACCGCTGTTGCATTATACCTTGTTTACCTTTGTTATACTATATCCTTGTTACCCTGGTATCCGCAATGAGTCAATGCTTAGTGGCTTTAGACCGGTAGAAGTCGGGTGATTTCACCACCTACGAGCTATAGGTGGTTACCCGGATCTGCTTTGGATGGCTATGAAGTCATGGTATAACTAAGTGTTAAATGAAGTTGAGACCGGGCGGAGACTTGCGAGTTTTGGACCGTAGTGTTTCCGTCAGGTCGATTAAGGACCGACCGTTGTTGGGCCTCGAGTCATGTTGAACGATGCCTTACATTTAGCCGGCCGGATAAAGTACCTTCCGACCGTGAAGTCCGGAGATTTTTTGGGCCGAGTAGATTGCCCGCAGCCAAGACCGTGTCGGGCAGGTGTGTGGTAGGACACGAGGCGGGATGATAAGACCAAAGTGCAATCGGTCGGCCCCGGTACATGTGGTTCCTAGCAAACTCGAGATACCTGGAAAGTTGACTCGGTGATCAATATCTCACTTTAGCGGGTGAGTGAGATTTGTGTAAGGAATAAATCACCAGCTGGTTAGGAATCGATTCGAATCGCCATCGCTCCTGGATAGTGAGCACTTGACTTGAGTGACTTCATCGTAGTAAATGTTTATGGAACACTTGGACAGTTATAGTGAATATGACAGTATGGAAGTTGTTTAATGATCAGTGGTTATCATTAATTGCTTAATCACATGTTTACTCTAGTATAGGTGCAAATCTAGTCGACAGGTTAATACTAATTAACTTGACAATAATGCTTTTATAAAGGTTCTTAAAATGCTACAAAATGCTTCTTTTGCAAATGAGTCAGCTACCCTACTATAAAGCCTGCATAATCCTTGGTGTCATTTATTTTCGGTTATGTCGGGTAAGTCTGGCTGAGTACCTTCTCGTACTCAGGGTTTTATTCCCACTTGTTGCAGATGGGCAGATGTATTACGGCTATTGTATCAACTGCCTTTATCCTGCGATGGGTGATGCTTAGGACCATGGGCATGGTCATTCCTTACGTCTCATCTAATGCTTTTGTTGGAGATGATCATTCGCTGGCACTATATTTAAACTCCGCGTGAGTGTGTGTGTGGTTTGAACAAATGACTTCCGCTACTTTTATTCGAACTGGTTTGTAATAACTATGTTTAAACTCTGATGTATCTGAGATTGCGAACTTTTATGTAATATGTGATGGTGACCGCTAAACTTATTACGATCATGGCTGGGACACGAGTTGGTTTGAAATCCTTTGTGATTTCACGGACTACCGGGTTATACGGGCTTAAGTTTGTTCAATCGTCTGCTCTGGTGGATGATTCTCTTACTTAATTTCGTATAATTGGTCGGTTCTGTTACACGAGTCTTCACCCACCCACGATGATCACTCACCATCTCCCAACAGAGATCACTCCCCTCCTCATCTGGAGCCATCACCCCCGAGAAGACAGAGGTCTCCTTCTATTCCTCCTCATCCAACTCCATCTTCATCAGCCCCGAGAAAAGAGACTCCTCCTCCTCCTTCATCTTCATCAGCGCTGGGAAAACAGAATTCTCGTCGTCATCCTCCTCCTCCTCCTCCACCTCAGCCCAAAACAAGATCAAGGACATCCTCGTAGTCGTAGAAAAGGTCTTTGGATTCGGTCGCTAATGATCCCAAAGTGGACCAACAAAAAAGAAAAAGGACATTCAGTGGCAGCGTTACCACCTTGATGAAAGAAAAATTTATAGCACACATCTCGAAGGAGGATTGTGTTAGTTTCTTCAATCTCTGTGCCTCACTGCCTTTGTTTTTGTTGAAGTCCGAATTCGAAAGGCAAACACAGAATAAATACGCTACAACAAGTGACGAAGAAATACACAATAAAGATTTAAGAAACATACAGAAGTACGTCGAAGACAACCCAGGATTAACTATGGAAGAGGCCACGAACATCTATTATGATGTACAAGGGACGGGAACACCGGCAATGAAGTATGAAAGGGGCAATCTTTTGGTTTCCGATCATGAGTATAAAAATCTGACAATATATATGCGCCAGTTATATGAATATTACATGGCTCAAGCAATAGAGACAGACGACTTTAGTTTTGAGGTTATTATCCGTTCGCCACATGTTTTCTATTATCCTGAAGAAGAGAATTTCGATGTCGAGTGGGAGTGCTTGTTCCAGCTATACCAGAAACGCTCTCTCGATTCACAAATATTGATGTTGTGGACTATGTAAGTACTCTACACGCACAATATTATAATTAACTACACCCTCGAGATACAAATTGTTAACTTTTGAACACTTTCTATGATTTTATGTAGGTGTATAGCAAAATTTTACATTCTAAAAAGCAAATGTGATTACATAGGCTTCTTGGACCCCTTGCGAGTTAATGAGATGACATGTCTAGGCCTCCATGGATGTGACATGGAAGGCCTGAAACCGAGATTGTTGTTTTCGACGAATTCATGATGAAGAAGAAAATCCACATACTTCTAGCCTACAACTGCGAGTATGTGTTCTCGGCTTTTAATTTTATGCTTCTTTTTTCGTTAAGATTATTCGATAATTAGGATTCTGTGATTGCAACAACCATTTCGTCTTCATTTGTGTTAATCTTGCCAAAAATCTGATCGAGGTGTGGGACTCGAACAAAAAACTATTTCATCATCTGGATGGACTGGTGGTAGTGCTGAATTAGTAAGCGATTCTAATAACATATTATTTTCTAATCACACATACCGCTTTCTAATGTTTCTCCTTTTAATGTTGCCCAGTATTTGAAGAAGACATATCGGTGGGACGCCGGTCCCATTCAAGATTGTCGAAATGGAGGGGAAGTACCTATCACAGCCGACAGAAAACAATGAATGCGGGTTTTATGTAATGTGGGCAATGCTTTGCTACATCGGCGGAAAATCGGAAGAAGCCGATAAGTTGGTGTGTATAAGCCCCATTTCATTTATGTCTGTTAATAATTCAACAAAATGATTTACTGTTCATCTTTGGATATCATCTTTTTTGAACGACAGCGCAAGAAATATAACCACGAAAGACTGTTAGACATGGAGATCGTCGCACTATAATCTGAGCTAGCAAAATTCATCTTAGCCGAGATATTAGAAAAAGATGGAGTATTTTCTATTGCACAATCTGTGAAGTACAAGGACCAGTATGGCCCAGAGCGGCTCGCCAGATTATTGTAAGAAGTCCGAGAAGCATTGCACAATCTGTGAAGTCCGAGAACATTTCTTTTTTATTTTGAGGGATCGAGATGTGGATAAGAATATTTAAATTGTAACCGTAACATTTGTAATGTTTAATATTGATCGACCTGTCGTCTACGTAGCGTATATAAAGTGAAACCCGATTCCACGAAAAAATATAAATTAAAATCAATTATAAAACAATAAAATGCGAACGTGACATCACTGCCGGTTATCAGAAAACTGGCAGTGTTGTTGTAAACATCACTGTCGGTTAGCAACAAAACCGACAGTGATGGCACTGCTGGCTCGAGCCACAAATCGGCAGCGTTGGCTTAGCCATCACTGCCGGTTCTTGTCATAAACCGACAGTGATTTTTACTACAACACTGCCGGTTGAAACACAAACCAACAGTGTTGTTGGAACTAAGCTCTACCGGATGGTCTTATGAACCGGCAGTGTTGGTGAAAATGAACACTGCCGGTTGTGTAAAGAACCGACAGTGAAGTTGAAGAACACTGCCGGTTTGTAGGAACCGACAGTGATAGCTTACCCTCATCACTGCCGGTATGGTTGTGCCGGTTCAAAATCCTGCAGTGATGGTGCCGATATGGTTGTGCCGGTTCAAAATCCTACAGTGATGGGGTATTTTGAACCGGCAGTGAAGTGCTATTCTAACGTACTGCATGGTCATTCAGAAAACATACTTTACACTAATGCATGGATCGGAGTTTCGGATTAGGTCTCTCGGTCTACAATAATACGGAGTCTAGTTGAAGCGGGAGCTGAACTCGTGATAGTTATGTCTATTGTCCTGCTTGATTGATCACCAAAATATGTGGATACTTTGTCATCCGTAGCACCACTGTTAATCAGCTTAGATGGTGGTTTAGGATTCGGTAATAAACTTGTGCTTTCAAAGTTCATGAGTGCGACTATATCTGACATGGTGGGGCGGTCTGCTGGATCTTCCTGAGCACACAGGAGTGCCACCTGAGCACATCTCACTACCTCCGCAATTTCATATCTCTCGCTCAACAATGGGTCAACCAGTTCATGTAGCCTTCCATCGTTCCATAGTTGCCATGCCTGAAACAATTTTCAATTCATTATCCACAAGCATTGCCTTGTAGTGTACATTTAAACTTAAACTTTTCCGGGGAGTGTTAACAATACATATATGGTGGGGAAAGCATGTATAGTAAATGATTGGTGCTTGAATGCATGTATACTCACATATCGTACGAGGTTGCCAACAGTGTCTCCTTGCTCCTCGAGTATGGTGTTCTTTCGCCCACTAATGATCACAAGAACCAACACCCCAAAGCCAAATATGTCTATCTTCACTGAATAAAGGCCACGAGATGCATACTCTGGAGCTATGTAACCACTGGATAGATACCAAAATGTGACATTATTATTGCATTGTATCACAATTATTGTAGTTCAACATGTATGATTTTTATGGATCTTACCGGGTTCCCACAATCCTAATTGTACGGCCTTCTGCTATATCTGAACTTAGCGTTCTAGCTGATCCAAAATCAGCTATCTTTGGGTTCATGTCTTGATCTAAGAGGACATTATTTGGCTTCAAGTCTCCATGTATGATCCATAAAAGTGAGTGCTTGTGCATGTAAAGAAGCCCCTCAGCTAACCCTTTAATAATCCGCAGCCGCTTATACCAATTTAGCAATGCCCCCTTTGTTTTATCTGCTGAATGATTAAACAAGAAATGAGTTAATCATCATATCAAAGCATTAGCCAAGAGCAATGGTGGTTCCATTGCCCGGAGTTCAAGTTTTTTCTGTTGGTAAGAGAGAAATAGATCAGAAAGTAGAAAACACACATCTTAGATAAAAAATTGTCTAATGGAAAACATACCAAAGATGATACGGTCCAAGCTACCATTCTGTATGAACTCATACACCAGAAGCCTTTCTTTTCCATGTACGCACCACCCTAGTAACCTAACAAGATTGATATGTTGAAGACTCGCAAGCTGCAATTCACTATTGAAATCAAATACTGTTGCATGTTCATCTAATCTTTTGATGGCAACCATGATTCCATTGGTCAACTGGCCCTGCAATTGCTGATAGAAGGGTTAAGTTGCCATTCTCATAACAAATAATCATCGTTTTATGCCATGTTTGGCCAACCTTAGCTCCAACTCCGCCACTGTAAAACACTGCCTTCAACATCTATCCTATTGTCAGCCAATTGTTTTCAAATGCTTGTGCGGTACTATTTTATCCGTGTTTGGCTGACCACAGAGATTCTTATGTAGCTTTGCATAGTGCTCTAATAAGTAGACCCAATGCAACATAGCTAGTATATAAATTTGTTTGTATTAGACAATACATATTTGTAGAAGCTAATGGGCACACAAAAATAAAAAATATTTTGAGCTCCTTACATGGAGGTGATAGTATGCAACAAATATAAACAATCAAACACAATTTTACCAAGCACGACGTGTCTATGCAGGAAAACAAAACATTAAGATACTACATATGTTTATGTGTTGGCTTGGTTTGTGTTTCATAAGGCCTAATAGAGGCTAAGACTAATGCAAGCAAACAATCACACCCGTACAGTAGCACACAGTACTACATAGCACACTGACTGGAAGGGAAGAGCTGAGTCACCGAGAGTCTCATGAGTCCTTAGTTTGTGGGTGGGGGAGCGAGCAATGAGTATAGGTTTCTATCACAATTATATTACTCCCTCCGTCACTGTCGTCCCAACAAAATAAATCAACTTCTGGCTATGTGCCTAGACAAACACATGTCTAGGTAGTAGAAGTTGTTTTATTATTTTAGGACGGAGAGAGTAGATGTTAATTACTCATATATATAGTTTATCTCTTAATTTTTCTGTTTAATTACCTTGTAAACTGTACCAAATCCACCCCTTCCAACAATTTTGTCCCTCGAGAAGTTGTCAGTGCCATCACAATCTGAGAGAAATCAAAGCTTTTGAATCCTGGGCAGCTCACTTCTGTATGAGTACAAATCTTCACCAACTCATCCACATCCATGACTTTTTATTCTTGCAATTTCACTATCCCTGATTCATTGGATATTATCATCATGTCACAAAAGCAGTTCACATCGAATATTGTTATCACTAAACAGACTTTTTTATTACCATAACTAGTGTCTTCATGGTGTGCAGGATAGTAGGGTTGTTCTATGGGTATAAATATCTCAAGAAAATGACATGAAAACAACTGAAAAGGGACTAGTAGACTGACATTTATTATGGTGATCTTGTTTACTTAGTCAAGTGTAAAAATGTATAATACATTAAGGTGCTGCAAATCCAATGGGATCCAGAGTTTGTACTTATCGAAACAAGGTCTAAAACACTTTCACCCATGTTGTCTTCTATGGAACTCGATCCATATACTAATGGTACTCTTATATGAAATGTGCTCCAGTTTTTCCCCATGGGCTCGAAATTAAATTAACGAACGCATTAACTAAATTGTTGTCAAAAGTAGCCATACAGATAATGTTAATTTTCCCAGCTGTAGCATATATAGTTGTAAGCAGGAGCAATAGTGTTAGCTCGACAAATGGTAGAAACTTTGCACAAGTAAGTACCTCCTAACATTTGTTCCTCAACTTTACAAGGTACAGCGGCCGCTGCTTGAGAACTTATTTCATTGAGCTCCCCAACTCTTCTTGAAATCCTAAGAATATGACTAGATCTTATCAGTGTATATATGCCAAAACCTTTGGTATTCTTATTTCAATTCTGACAAAATGATATAAGCATGAGTTCTACTGATTTTGCAAACAAAACTACCATAGAATTGGTCAGCATAGATGGGTGTTAATGTAAATTTACGGACAGGTGGAGTGCAGTATATCACAGATAGGCAAATATCTGTCTGCAATGTTAAAATGTGTCTATTGCAACCATTTTTCTATTGGGTCTCCTTATAAAAAAATAAAAAGGGCCTAAAATAAAATAAAATGATAGGCATGACAGATTTACATACCTGTATGTTTAGGGGTTCGTTTTTAACAGGAATTCCACTTCAAGTCATTTTAAGAAAGTTAACTATTATTATTTAGATAATTGTACAAAGATATCTCAAGAAAATGACCTGCTATGGTTGAAAAGAAATGCTACAGTTACCATAGTTTCTTAAATTTTAATTATCAGTTTATCTCATATTTATCACCGTGTGATGCATCCACAGTTCAAGTTTTAACATAAATGATGCTAAACTACTTTGCTTGTCTAACCTTACTATTACTAATTAGATATTTCTTTTTGGCGCCTGCACACTAATCCTAACAAGATGCGCTAGAAAAATAGGCAAAAAAAAATTCTCATTAAAACAGCACTTGGTGATCAATTTGATAGATTTAATCATATTGATGATAATGTACTAGAAAAAGGAAATAAAGCCTAGAAAATGCCAAACACTAAACGGAAACATCCAGCTGCTATGAGTTCCGCAGACTATGATTTCATTGAAAATAATAAGTTAATAACCATAACATCCTATCTATTGTAAATAAATAACTTGTTTCTACCATAATGGAAAATAGTGTAAAGTAGCCACTACATTATATCTAAATTACACACATCTGCCATTTTGAGAGAAAATGGCCTCCTAAATCTTCATTTGAATTACCCACATATGCCATTATGATAAATAATTAATGTGGATATTCACTAAATTTGTGTTTAAATTATCCATATATGCAATTATGAAAAAATAATCTAAAGTAACCCCCTAGATGTTACATCTAAATTACTCAGATATGGCACACCGTGACGAGCGTGTAGCACCGCCGCAGCGCGCCGCTGAGCTGCTTGAGCGGCCGTCGGAGAGCTCGAGCTCCCGAAGCAGGCCGCCAACGAGCTCCACATGCTGCCCCAGCCTCCGCCACGCGTCCCGGTGGCGACGCGCCGCCAGCGCGGCCTGCACCACCATGGACACCAGCCCGAGCGCGTCCACGCCGATCAGCTGCGCCACGTTCGAGGCCTCGCCGAGCACGTTCCACAGGCCGCCCGACGAGCACTACTACAGAAATTAACTGTAGGGGCGGCTCTAAAGCCTCTGTAGGGGCGGCTGCGCCAGCCGCCCTTCCCAGGGTGTTCCTACAGAGGGTGCCTCTGTAGGGGCGGTTTCCTGACCGCTCCTGCAGTGCCCTCTATAGGGGCGGCTGGTGTTTTCAGCCACCCCTACAGTGCCCTCTGTAGGGGCGGCTAGTGTTTTCAGCCGCCCCTGTAGCGGACTTCTGTAAGGGTGGCTATATCACCAGCCGCCCCTGCTGTGTGTATTTGTAAGGGCGGTTCAATCAAGAACCGCCCCTACAGTGGATTTTTCAGCAAAAAAAAATTCAAATTCAAATCTGACCACATATATATATTTAATTCAAATTCATATACATGAAGTAGTATCAAAAGCCATTACATGTCCCTTCAACATACTGCAAGTAAACCTACTTGCTACTTGAACTAAGAAGATAAGAAGCAACAGGCATGTAACTAATAATCTTCTAGAAGGGAAGGAAACTAACTTCAAGACAATGCTTCCTATGAATAGTCTGCACATACTTCTCAGGTCACAGATGACAAGTCATTATACCTACATAAAGAAAATACATACAAGTGGTTAGATTATAATCTCTATTGATTGAAAATGTATCATTATTTCATTCACTCAACTTGTAAAATTACAAGTTCAGTTTAGCTGACAAAGATAAATAGCAACAAAAGCACTTGGCACTTGAGCTGTAAACTCATGAAGATGAAGACCTCTATTTTAGACAGGGTGATGGTAACTAATAAATAATATAGAAGTATGCAAGAAACTGTCCTTGGCCTATCTAGCACTACAGTAATAAATGCTGGTTATATGCTTATATGATCCCTGCTTACAAGGGGAAGCTTGGAAGAACATAAGCAATAAAATGACAACAGAGTTTTGACAGTTAACTTGGGATGCTTCCAGTGAGTTCTATATAAGTTCAGTGAAATTAATGATACAGTTATCTGACTTAGCAGTATATATCCTACTCCTATGCATTACTAAAATGACAAATAGTAAGAAGGTTAGGAAGACACGAGCATCTGCAGATGATTTTCGTACCACTGTGATGCGACGTTAACGATGAGAAGAAGCTTCCCCTTGTAGGTGCTGAGGTCAACATCTTTGCCGCTCGCATCCTGCACACTAGCAGCAAGCAAAAAGCCATCATTAGACTCCCTTTGCAAATTCGTCATTTTAGTGCAAGTATTCCATGATGTCAATGTAACTGAAGGTACTGAGACTTTATATCAGTTAAATTTTGGCATAAGCACAAGTCATACACATCATCCCAACTAGGACAAAAAAATATCTGAGTTCCACAGCTGCAATGAGAACAGATTCTAGACTTTCAATCACATGAAGATTATGGAATAGAGTGGGGCAAAAAAAACCTGCAGTAGAATACAGAAGGTAGCATTCTGTAATTCAGATTACCTTGGTTGTGATGAACAGATCCTCCTTCTTGACAAGTCCATTCTGAAATGCCTCTGCGAGTGCATCACCGACTTCAGCTTCGGTAGTTAGCTGCAGAGCAAGTTACCAAACACACAGACAATAAAGCACCAAGTAGAGAAGGAAAACTCCTGTGCCGACACTAGTAGTTGGGACCATATTAGCATACTCCATGATTGATAAAGAAATCGTCATGGACAAAGACAAAGGTGGTGTCTAAGCATGCTCAGATCATTCAGTACTATGAATCAAGTGTTTATCAAGATACCGATATCTAAGAAATCTATTAGCAAACATCGAGACACTACAACTTCGATTCATATTTGGATATTCCATGACCGCCAAAGAAATTTCAATCATGTAGTACATTACTGACTTCGATTCATATTAGGAAACTCGTCTCTAGGTCAGTTGTAGGAAAATAGCAATTATATTAACAACTGAATCGTAATATAACATGGATTACTTCATGTTTGTTCTATATATTAGATTATACCCAATTATAGTATGGTGTACAAGTAAACATTGTCATTAGTACATAATAATCTGACTTCATGGTATAGAGCTACAAA